ATTGTTGCAGTTTGGCCACTGGGAGCTCTTTCAGATTGGCTCTGGTGTCCCTTTGATATGCCCCAGTCCTTCCCCCCATCCCCAGTATCTTAGCTTTTGATGTAAAATTTGGTTTTCTTGGGGCAGTCAGTTGGCTCAGTTGGTTAGAGTGCAGTGCTCATAACACCAAAGTTGCTGGTTCGATTTCCACATGGGCTAGTAAACTGCACCCTCCACAACTAGATTGAAAACAACTTGACTTGGAGCTGATGGGTCTTGGAAATAACACACTGTTCCCCAATAAAGTTTAAAAAAATTGGTTTTCTTCCCCCACTAATCCACTGAGATTGCTTTAAAGTCCTTCAGATGATAATGGTTTCTAGATTGTCAGGCTAAAGTCTACTTTTCTGTTCTTAGTTTACCAGACCTTTCTGTGACAGTATTATTCATCTCTCATCTGCAAAAGCCATTTCATTTTCTTGAAATTTACTATGGAAATTTCAAGCTAGAGAAAAGAGCATAACGAGTCTCCATGTATCCATCTTCCAGCTTCAACAATTCTCAACATTTTGCTGATCTTGTTTCAACTGTCATCTTTCCATGCTCTGCCACTGGAATACTTGAAAGGAAATTCAAGATAGCATGAGTTCAACTGCTGAGTTCAGTGTCTTATTTACAGATAAGAACTTTAAAATATATAAATAACCACAAAACAATTATTATACCTCACAAATAATTCTTTAATATTGTCTAACAATCAGTCCATATTCAACCCCCCAATTTTAAGACTTTGTTCATAGTAGGATCCATACAAAGTCTACACATTACATCTTAGAACATTCCATCCCCCCTGCTCTCACCTCTTCTCAAACACACACTTTTTAAAAGTTCATTTGTTGACTAAACTGGGTTTTCTGTCCTATCGAATTTCCCTGATTCTGGATTTGGCTGATGTATTTGCAGAGTCTATTTTTTTTTTAAAGATTGTTATTGGGGAATTGGGGGAAGGGGAACAGACAAGTTGCTGTCCTTTTGTTCTTCAGTCTAGTTGTGGAGGACGTTGCTTCACTGGCCCAAGTTGGCACCATCATTGTGCTCTTCCCCGGGTGACGCACATCAGTCGCCGGCTTCTGGACGGCCACTCACTGCGGCTGCTGGCCTCTTACACTGGCTTGCAGAGTCTATTTTAACATGTTAGTTCACTCTGTGAACTTCCTGTAAATTGGTACTTAGATGTGGAGTCTTAGATTTTGATATGTGTGTGTATATATATATATATATATATATATATATTATATTTGCAAAAATCTGTTATATTTGAGATATAGCTCAATACATCGATATCTATCTATCTATATTTGCAAAATTATTTCATTGGTGGTGAAGTCAACTTCCTAATGCATCCTAATAGAAGCCATACTGTCTGGTTGTTCCACTTACAATTTCCCCTTTTGAGACACCTCTAGCTCCTGGTTTTCCTCCTCTTTGTCATTTCTTCTCAGTTCCCTTCCCAGACCCCTCCTTTACATGTTTTGAAGTCACTGTTCTTCAGGGCCCACTGTAACCGGTCCATTCCTCCTAGTCTATATATGGCCCTTTTCCATATTCCTAAGGCTGTGGACTCTATCAAGTCTGTATTTTTTATGCAGACCCTCTCCACGGAGTTCCACACCCAAATATCCAGTGACTGACAATGTCACTACATGTCCTGTGAGCTCTACAAACTTACCATGTCCCAAGTAGAATTATCATTCTTCCCAAACAGGTTTCTCATTGTTTTCTTTACCTCAGTGACTAAAATCACCATCCAAGACAGAAACCTGAGCCACCCTAGGTTTTTTGCCACAAATTGCCAAGCCACGGGAACGTCTATTTCCTCAATATCTCAGTTCTAAAATTCAGACAGAGTGAAAAATGCATTAGAGTCACACACTCTCAAACTGAGCTAGGACTAGAACCTAACCCCAAGTTCCAGCATGGAGTACACTGGAATCCTGCCAAGGGCTGTAAGAGGCTCCAGATTCTTCACTATGCTCTGGATATGTTGTGCTTTACATGTATTATAAGTATGGTTGCAGAGACCAAGTTCAGCAGGACGAAGCAGCTAAAAGTGGGGAGTTTAGGAGTTCGACTATCTGGGTTTGACACTCTTTCACCACTGAAAATGAACCTGGTTAAGTTGGTTAATTTCTGTGCTTCAATTTCCTCATCTGCAAAATGGGAATAATATTCCTTCACTCCTTTTCTGAAATCCTCAATGCTCTGGAAACTGGAAGTTGGTTTTTGTTGTTTTGTTTTTATTTTGTTTACAGCAATTTGACAGCCAAACTTGACTTGACACTAAGGATTTGATGACAAAACCTGCCCTGAATGGAATTCAAAGTACAACGTCTGAATTCTGAAACACACCTGACCTAGGTATTTTGAAAAACAGGTTGTGTACCTGTAATAATTACTGAATAGGTTTGTCATAGGTTGATTGCTAAAGAAATTAATATTTGTAAAGCTGCTTGAAGAGTATGTGGCCCATAGTAATCCCTATATAAATGTTTGATGAATAAACATTTCACGTTAACAGTTAGCTGTAGAAATGAAGTGAAAAATATACTATTTTATGTCAGAATAGAGTTGATGAATTTGGGGGCCTCTATCAAAGCTGGGTGCCTACCATAGCTTTTGTGTTATAAAGAAATTAAACATCAGAGATAGGAAAAACCCCTTTTGAATGGCACTCCAATCCTTCCCCTGCTCAGAACCATTATTGTGAAGCTGGTGTGAAATCTTTTGTGTGCAACTTTCTCGATTTTAGTACATATGTATGCATCCATAGTATGTATTTTTAAAAAACAAAGAATGATCTGGCCCCAGATGTCAATAGTGCTAAGGCTGAGAAGGCCCACCCTCATGTCTCTCTTGCACGCTCTCGCAGTGCACATATCACAATTATTATCATCGTATATCTGTCTGCCTCTCCTCCTGCAACGCAAGTTCCCTGGGGGAAGAGACTATGGTTTGGTTACGTGGAATGAAAAGGAGTCAAATATTTGCTGAATAAATGAACAAACAAGTCATAGGTCTCTCCTATCACAAATTACCCATGAGGCATCTTGGGAAGGATGGTGGGAAAGAGATGGAAAAAGCCAATGCATCCATGTGAAGCGCTGACAGGTAAGCATTTCTCCATATTGGAAGAAGTTTCACACCCGGGATCTTGACTGGCTCCCCTTGGCAATTTTTAAAGACAGGGGCTACATGTCAACCTGTACTGAGCATTGACCGTGTGGCCAGCACTGTGTTTTACAGGCACTAACTCAATGGGGTCCTCACAAGGACCCCATGCAAGGGAAGCATTAATACCCACTTGAAGAGCAAGAAACACAGCAGCAAGGGACAGGCGGAAGGAACTCCCAGTCCGCAGTCACAAAGCCAGCAGGGCTGGGACCCACATGGTGGAGTCTTTGGGGAAAGGTAGGAGAGTCCTTTGTAAAGAGAAACATTTCACTCTCAAATAGCTAATTACCTGCTCAATTACCGGCTTCAGTTCGTATTAGTGCCTGGGTCACGTCTGTTTTCCACTTAGGCATATGAGTTTAAAATCAAAAAAGGGAACGACTAAAGATTTGAGATTTTAGTCATGTGTCACCTCAGGGGAAGTGAATTCTGATTTTCGTCTGCAATACCCAAGCACAAATTGCAACTCCAGTAATAAAACGAGAGCTGGGAAGAATAAGCACCTGGGGCTGATGAAAGTAATGCATTTGTCACAGGGCAGGGGCTGAAATGTGGAGCTAAGTGTTCTTAGGGAAAAAACATGTCAATACTAAATCTTTTCACCAACCTTTGATGGATGTGCTAATCTTCTCAGGACAACAAGGCTCACCCTGGCACCGCACCATAATAACTTATTTAAAAGGCAGCTGGATTTTTAAAATGGACTGTTCCATCCATTTTTAGATTTTCATTCTCAGAAATGTGTTCTATTAAAACAGTATTTGCTATACAAAGAGGTCAATTATACCTTTTCTACAACAAAGGAGACTGCAGAGGTGAGCAGGTTTGGGAATTAGTGTTCTTTGCTCTCAGATCTGTTTGACATTCAAGTTCTATAGGGATAAGGAGATAACAAAAATGTCACAGGGGTATTTTCATTGCATTACAGCAGGGGTCCCAACTACTGCCCATAGGCCAAATCTGGCCCACAGCCTGTTTTTATAAAGTTTTATTAGAACACAGCCAAGCCCATTTGTTTACTTACCCTCTATGGCTGCTTTCACTGCTGCAAGGGTGGAACTAAGGAGTCATGACACAGACTGTGTGGCCTGCAAAGCCGAAAACATGAACTTGCTGGCCCTTTATGGGGCATGCACGCTGACCTGTACATGGGAGAGAAGTGGGATTTATCTCGCTGCGTGCTTGGATCATTCTCAGTGGAGGCGCTAGCAGTTGGAGTAGGAGACCACCTCTGACTCATGTAAGGTATCTGCCTAGTTCAGTGGGGTTCAAGATAGAAGAAACCAGAAAAAGACAGAAAACTAAGCAGTATCTCTAAGTGAGAACTTGAATGAACTGAACACTATTGTTAACATAAAAAAGTATTTCAGGGCTGGCCGAGTGGCGCGATGGTTAAGAACTGGCTTGGGATGCCAGAGGGCCCCGGTTCGGATCCCACATGAGGGCCAGTGACACTGCCCTCTACAGCTAAGATGCTGAACAACAGCTCAACCTGGAGCTGTGCTGCCGTGAGTCGCCAGCGATGGCTAGGGTGCAGCCCCTGCTGCAGTGGGTTGCCATGGGCTACCGTGTGTAGCCAGCAGCCAGCGTGAGCGGCCAGCAGCCAGCGTGAGTGGCCAGCAGCCGCAGTGAACGGCCATCCAGAAGCCAGCGACCGATCTGCCTCACCTGGGAAGAGCGCAATGATGGTGCCAACTTGGGCCAGTGAAGCGACGTCCTCCACAACTAGACAGAAGAACAAAAGGACAGCAACTTGTCTGTTCCCCTTCCCCCGATTCCTCAGCGCTGCTCCCATCCCCCCAATTCCCCAATAAAAATCTTTTTTTAAAAAGTATTTCAATTTTGGTCAAAAGAAAATTTCATGTTGGCAGAAGTCCGCGTGCTGCCGCTTCCAAGTGGTTGACGGGCCCCTGGGACTCTGGTGAACGTGCTGATGTTTCAGTATCAAGTCCCCCTTCCCCAAGAAAACACACAGTAGATGACGAGAGCAAATCCCAAAAGAGAGGTGGTGGTGGCTGGGTGCCCAGGCCGCAGGGCTCAGAATTTCAGCGGGATGACCGGCCAGTATTTGGGCCGCTTTCGGTCGAAGTACTTGTCGAAGCTCAGCTGCACAGCGGCTTCCATGGCCTGGATCTTGGCGGCGCCTTCACCGTACAGGCGCTTCATCTCGGCCTGGCGCTGCTCGCCGGGCCTCTCGGACGGGGACTCCCCCGAGAGGCTCGTGCTGTAGTACAGGTCATGGTCGGCGTTCACGTAGTCCTCCAGGCGCGCGTCGTCCAGCTGCTGCTGCCGCCCTGAGAACAAGCCAACACAGTGAACGGGGGAGAAGTCTGCCGCTGCCGGACGTGCAGCACACAGCCCGCCAAGCTTCCCCTTTCAAGCTCTGAAGCCAGGCGCACTGCGCCAGCTGAGACTGTAAGGCACAACCGGCAAGTTCTCTACTTACTTATAAAGCTCATTGGTCACTTATGTGGGTTATACACTGATAGAAATGGCCAACAGCCACAAGGAAACATGTCACTCCAAACTATCAAACCTCCGGAAGGAGCTCTGAAAATACACGACACTGCCTGGGTTTCTCTCTTCCTCTGCCCAGCGAGGAACGGCTGGTGGAGCTCACTGGGTTTGAACAGCTGTACCAGGCCAGCAGGGAAATTAAATGCTTCCTGGAAAGGCCAGTGTTGCAAGAGGCGGTATTTCCCACCACCAATGAGGTGGTGGGGGGAGGGGAGGGGGAAACCAGCCCTTTGGAAGAGCTATTGATTTTAGGTAATCTGGAAAAGAGCAAGTACCAGTAACTAGAAAATGGCCACGATGATCGATGACCCTGCCACATACCCAAAACACGAATCCTGCCAGGCTACCGGAGGTCAAGTGGTTCAGCACCTGCCAAAGGTAAAAGGGCGGAGCAAAGGCAACTCTGCAAATGGAAGGGAAACGACGTCTAATCTTCCTGCTCCATTACCAAAGCTGCAACTGGGCGTCCAGGTCCTCACTATGGCATTTGACTTTCCACTTCACAGGTTACCTTAGTCTCCATTTCAAGTGCTATCGTTATATGCTTTCATTCCTACTCATGTACATGGATTCCTGTAAAGTCAGAAATATTTATTCAATTTATTCTCCCCTCTCTATATCTTTTATTATAACAAGTACTAATATAACTTGTATTCTTATGTAAAGAAACTAAAAAATATCAACAAAACAATGCCACAGAATGTAAAATTTAGCCTGCTTACATAGATTTTTGTAAGCGACTGTCAAGAACAGAGAAATTGATAGTAGAATGCACACATCTATTGCTACCAAGAGAGATGCTACTATGTAGGGAGTGAAGATTAGTTGGAGGGAATAAAACAATGACATAAATCATTCTTTCCTCGTTACAAACAAAATAGCAGAAAGAAAGCTTAGTGTGGAAGGGACCACAAAAGTGAGCGAATCAAGTGTGAACACAAAGATAATTTTGTGGCTATGCACAGTCACTGTCATAATCCTGTTCTTTATAAATAACACCTTGGACGGACTGGGGGGGGGTTTGTGTCACTTTGAGGGGTAAAAAGTATAACTAGTGCACTGTGTTGTACACCTGAAACTAATTTTAAATAAATAAATAAATAAATAAATAAATAAATAATAAATAACACCTTGGAGTTGGAGGGAAGGAATTTTATAAACTTGGAAACATTATTAAAAGTGTATGTGGCCATTTCGGTCTTAGCGCATCTGCAGTTCATTTTCACATAAGGAAGCAATACATGAATATGCCAAATGACTGTCAAAATCAATACCATATAACTGTTACCTTATCCATGGAAAAGACAGAAGTGACTCAGTGTGGAATACAGACCTAAACCAAAACATTGACCTAATATGCAAATGAATGGGAGGTCAACAAGGATTTGTTTCTCAGTTTTGGTCTTTCTGCCAAGTTTGAAACCTGAGGAGGTAAGTTATTCAGTCCTCATGGGTGTTTAAATTCTATTCCCCGCCGCCGCCCAAGGACTACTCTTTTGAAGGACTGGCATTTCCCCATTAGCCAGGGACAACAGAGTGCCACCTACGAGAGCCTTGGGCCCATTACCAATCTTCGGGCTCCTCTCCTTGTTGACCTGGAGGACATGGTCCCCTGTGGGGGGCTGCTGGGGCCTCAAGAGGTTCTCAGGCCACAGTCCTTTCACTCTCAAATTTCTCCCAAGAGTATCATCAGCCTTACTGACAGATTTAGTGACACAACAGATGTTCAGCTTCCTGTCTAAATCTGAGCCTCTGAGTTGAGAAGTTTTAACAAACACTGGAATCTTCACTATCTTAGTGCTCTCTGCCATCGGGATATGTGAATTTAACCTTTTTACTTTTGTACCTTTATTTTTCTTTCCTTTCTAATTTACCAGGGTTATAATTATGCCTTTCTGCTACGCTTCTGACAAAAATTATCTTACGGATATTACATTGGCGTCATAATTCTATGCCGAGACACCGTTTCTCTTACTGCTGACATCTGTGGATAAAACGCTGTTAATGGAAAGCAACCCCAGCTGGCAATCCATGAAGTCTGTGCCATTTTCCAAGTTCACACTCGGCGTGTGCTCATGAGTTACCATCGCTGACTGGGTTTCAGTTCTTAACAAAGTTCAGACAGTGGAAGAATAAGACACAGCCCTCTGCTCAGTTCTCCCTGTCCAGCCTTCCTCATGAAAATTTAAAGCCCAACCCTGTCCCCTCCCTGCCTGGCAAAAGGTTTGGAGGTTTCCCCGTTTCCTGCATGGTGGGTAGTTGTCCTAAAACATAAAGCTAAGGGGCAGGAAGCCTGTCCCCTGCACTGAAAGATGGGCTAGCAGCCAGGATGGGCCTGCGGGAGTCACTTGTGGGGGAGGGGCTGGGTCACCTTTATCCATCTCAGTCCCCAGCCCCAGGAACATGCCATGTCTGACACAAAGCAGGTGCTCAGAAAATGATTGCCAAGAAAGCTCGGACAAAGGCCACACATTAGTTTTTATAAACAACTCTGTTTCTTCAAGATGCTGTTAAAGAAAAATGATGACAACCCAGGGATACAGAAACAGATGGTCAAATCAGAAAAGGTGCTGGGCGGAGCTCCCAAGTAGGTTCCTCGGAGCCTCCATGGCGGAGAGGCTGGCAGAGAGGGGAGGGGAGCGCACCAATGGGCTGCGGTCTGATCTTCTTACCTTACGTTTGAGTCACTTCACCTCCACTCAATCACACAATTAAAAAAAAATGTTCGAAGGCTAGACTGCAGATTTGAAAAGCAACCAGCTTAAAACCAAATACCCTCAGATTGGCTGTAAGTACTTTAGCACAAGTATGCTGCCCTGGCGGACCAAGCAAGGCTTTGAAGGCATCTACCGTACTTATCATTTTCTATTTATTACGTCCCTCCTCCCACTGAAAGAAAGGATTCTCAGTTACCGGCAGTTTTTCTTCCTGTCCAAACAAGGGGAGGGCTCATCCAACTAGACGGAGAATCAGCTGACGGGCGCAAAGAACATCACACTTCAGACAGGACAGGCGTTCAGGTGTCTCGTCTAGAGGCTGGTGGTTTTTACTGAAAACAGCTGTGGAACTCGTTGTTCCCGGGCGCTGTTTTCTTGTAGGATATTGGCTCGTGGGCCTTTGTTTGAATACAAATCAGAATGTCTTTTTAGATTCGAGCTTTGAAACAAGGTTGTAGTGGGTTGAGTAGTGTGTCCTCTCCCAAATTCACATCCACCAGGGACCTCAGAATGTGACCTTATCTGGCAAAAGAGTCAACCCTAAATCCAATGACAGGTGTCCTTATGTGAGACAGAGAAGGACACATAGAGACACAGGGAGAAAGTATGTGAACTTGCAGGCAGGGATTGGAGCTATGCTGCCACAGCCAGCAAACGCCCGGAGCCACCAGAAACTGGAAGAAGCAAAGCCCTAGAGTGTTTGGATAGAATGTGGTCTTGCCAACACCTTGATTTTGCACTGCCGGCCTCCAGAACTGTTAGAGAATACATTTCGGTGGTTCTGTCACCCAGTTTGTGGTATTTGTTAGAGCAGCCCCAGGAAACTGATACACAGGTTTACATGCACATAGGGTTAAAACAAGGAAACCAGTCCTAGCAGTCTGACAATTAAGTTCGCAAACTTGTTGCAACGTTGTTGCTAAACTTTTTTGGTATCAGAGGGATTACTCATTATGAATTTGTACCAACTGGACAAACAGTGAACCAAGTTTACTATTTGGAAGTGCTGAAAAGGCTGTGTGAAAAAGTTGGACGACCTGAACATTTCACCAACAATTCATGGCTCTTGCATCACGACAAAGCACCAGCTCACACAGCACTGCCTGTGAGGGAGTTTTTAGTCAGTCAACAAATAACTGTATTGGAACACCCTCCCTACTCACCTGATCTGGCTCCCAATGACTTCTTTCTTTACCTGAAGAAAAAGGAAATATTGAAAGGAAGATATTTTGATGACATTCAGGACATCAAGGGTAATACGACGACAGCTCTGATGGCCATTCCAGAAAAAGAGTTCCAAAATTGCTTTGAAGGGTGGACTAGGTGCTGGCGTCGGTGCATATCTTCCCAAGGGGAGTACTTTGAAGGTGGCTGTAGTGATATTCAGCAATGAGGTATGCAGCACTTTTTCTAGGATGAGTTCGCGAACTTAATTGTCTGAGCTCATATACTAGTAAGGAGAGGCTCTACTGGATTCCATCTGGGTTCGAGATATATAACCTGGATATTTTTTGCCTCAGTCTACACATTTACATGATGTTACCAATATAGACTAATAGTCCATAAAGGAAAAAAAAAACATCATGGGGAGTGACTTGGACTTTAGAGAACCTGACACAGCAGGAAAACATGCATTGAATATTCCTCAGATAATTCGCCCAAAAGCAGAACATTTTGGAGGACAAAGCACGAAGACAAATGAGTGTTAAAGAATGTGATTTTTCCTCAAGCAAAACCGAGTGAAAGTGCAGACTTGATTTATACCACGAAGGCCTAATTTCTGGCTTGCCAGCAACACACCTTGAACACAGGTGCAGACCTGGAGCCATTTCTGATGGTGCTTCCATCCACACCTCACATCCCTCGATCCACGACAAATGTAATCCTGAAGTTAGTGGATAAATCACCATTTGCATTTTTAGAACACAAGTGCACGTCCATCCCTTACTTCCACTTTTCTACAGCCTTCCACACGTATCTTCTCACTGATTGGCTTTACGCATATACACGTCTGAATGTTTGGTCTACACGAAGCCCACACATAGTGGAACTGTGCTCAA